ACATGATTCGGTCCCCTGCCCTGTTTATAACGTACCAAAGTATCCCTCTTTGGGTTTGAAATTCTTGGCATCTGCTGGAAAACGAATGTGTTTTTTGCAAACATCGGCAAAATCCTTTTGGCTGTTTCTGAATTCAGTGAGCATGGAAATAACTTTCTCATGGTAAAGAAAACAAAATTCTCCACGTTCTTAGACACATCCCAAACCAGTGTGTGTCTTCTCTCTAGGTCCTGCGATTGCTGGACATTATTGGTTTACCTGAACTGGTCATCCAGTTAGCAACGCTAGCAATCACAGAAGCAGCTGACGACTGGAGAAGCCAGGTAGGCATTAATTCTTTTGTGCTGAGACATTGGTTTTTTTCCATGCAGCAGCTATTGCTGGCACCAAGAATTTATTTTAATTGGTGCAGATAATATTGACTGAACTGAGTTGCGCTCTCTGGTGTTCCAGGCTACTTTGAGGACGTGCGTTTTCAAACATCACTTGGATTTAGGGCACAATAGCCAAGCGTATGAAGCCTTAACCCAGAATCCAGATTCCAGCAGGTAACATCCTTGTGTCCTTCAATGCTGCGGCTCTGCTGCCTGAGCTGTGGGCTGCACGTAGCATCCGTCTCACAACCGCTCGCCCGTTCGGGAAGCTGTTGGCACAGAACGTTACCATCCCTCCGATGTGATATTTGCGCTTAGTTCAGTGCCGCGTAAGAAACTGATTGGGATGCTTCATGCCTGTCGGATTCAAATGTGGATCCTTTCACCATGGCACTGAGCTGGATGGGAACTAGACTGTGAATCCTGAATACGGGCTTTATGGAGCCAGGCCTGTCTGTATAACCCAATGAAACCGTGGCCCCAGTTCATCCATCCAGCTGCTTTTTAGTTACTGCTTGTACCCAGTAAGATGATGGCCAGGTCGGCAGCAACAAGTGTCACGGAGCGGACGCTGCCCCTGGGCAAGCGTGCAGGAGCTAGCAGCTTTTCATAGAGCCCTTGGCGAGCCCCTGCAGCGGGAAATGCCCCCACTCTCCTGGGGTTCGTTGCCCAGCTGCAGGCCGTCACGTCCTGGGGCCCCGGGGGTTCCCGAGCACAGGCACTGAGTGAGTAAGGTGTTAGTTAAATCATGTGAACAGGTTGCCTAACATGGTTAAACCCCACCTAGCACTTAGTGTAGACGGACTGTAATGTTTAAAACTGCGTACCCTGGCTGTGGTTAACCCAAGGGTCTGCCTGGGTGCCACAGCTCCTTCTCCCCCTGAAAGCCAAAGCCCAGTTTATTCCTGGGTATGCTATAAGCCAGCGTATCTCAAACTGGGGTCCGCAAGCCTATTGTAGGGGGGTCGTGGTATTGCCACCCTTACTTCTGTGCTGCTGCCTTCAGAGCTGGGAGGCGGGAGAGCGGCAGCTGCTGGCTGGGCACCCAGCTCTGAAGGCAGAGCCCCCACCAGCAGCTGCGCAGAAGTAAGGGTTGCATGGTATGGCATTACCACCCTTACTTCTGCACTGTTGCTGACGATGGTGTTGCCTTCAGAGCTGGGTGGCATGGTATTGGGGGTGGGGAGGTGGGCTGGTCATCACAGTCTGTAATATTTTTAAAGGGGTTCCCAGCAAAAATAGTTTGAGAACACTCCCCACCCCCCATAAGCCCACATTAAATAGGTCCTAACAGACTGTCTGTTGTCCGAGAAGCCCCTTCCTGGCAGGAGAAGAACACAGGACCAAGAGGGGCAGAGACTGGCCAGCCAGTCAGTGAGAGGCTTTCTCACCCCAGTCAGATTCATAAGCCCGGGCAGGGAGTGTATGTACGGGACTCGGTAGTGCGGAGGTTCGGCCTGAATCGCTCACCTTCTGGCGAGGAAGGAAGGAGGAACTCCGTTCCTTAAGACGCTTGAAGAAAACAGCTCCCTGTCCAGGTTCCCTGCTTCCAGCCAAGCCTCATGCAAATTTCTCCACCGCCAGCCCCTTTCGCCTCCCAAAAGCTTGGCCTGAAGCCAAACGCAGGCCTTCCTCCTGGGGTCCAAATCGGATGGGTAGTCCTCACCCCCCCATCACAAGTCTGAACCTATCGTGGCTTGTGAACTCTGCTGGCAGATGTGCATCTTGCCTGCCTGCCTATCCAAGTTCATTGGAATAGCTTTGCCTTTGTCTCTTCCTAGGCAGCTGGACTGTTTGCGCCAGCTGGTGGTGGTTCTGTGCGAGCGCTCCCAGCTGCAGGACCTGGTGGAGTTCCCCTATGTGAACCTCCATAATGAGGTAATTCACCAGCCGTGGGCCGGGGGGGAGAACTATATAGTGGAAGGCGGCTGAAAAACTCCTGTGTCTCCCGTGTCTTAGGTTGTGGGGATAATCGAGTCTCGAGCTCGCGCCGTGGACCTGATGACTCACAATTACTATGAGCTGCTCTACGCTTTCCACATCTACCGTCACAACTATCGCAAGGGTAAGGCGCCCGGACGTCGCTAGTCCCTTGTATCTCGGCCCTGGGCTCTCCTTGCCTGGTATAGCTGTACTAGTAGATCTTGTGTCCATGCACGGTCTGTTGTGTGGTTCTCTCCATGATGTATGCTGTTTATCTGTCCAGAGGCCATGGGCTCTCTTAGGTGTAGCACACTTGCCCGTCTCTCTGGCCTAGCCAGT